AGTGGGCAGTAGCCAAGAGAAAGTGGAAGGACTTATGGAGACCTGGCCCAGTCTAAAGGGAGCGGCCGTGACTCAGCCTCACTCAACAGGTGCTGTTTGGGAATCTGGGCCCACTTAGTCACCTTCATGAGGCTCATGGTTAAAGAGAAACAGCTGCTACTAAAAGGAATTGCTACATTTTCGGTGGTGGTGGTCAGGAAGTAAGTATATGGAAGAATAGATAGATGAGTGGATGGATGGATGGATGGGTGAATGGACCGATAGATGAATTAATGGGTGGATGGATGAGTGCAGGTTTGCTGTTGCTGGACATCCTTAATTTTTCCACAAAGTTAGAAATTGAAATGCTTTAGTGGAATCTCTCAACTTTAAAATCGTGGTTCACATGTGCTTAAAACAATTTGTGACCCAAAAGAATCAAACCAGTGGGACAGTTTTGGCCACAGCAAAACCAGTTTTCACCACTTGCATAGGCTTAGGGAAGTTAAGGAAATTGCTCTAGGTAAGGCAATGCCTGCACTGGGTTTCTAAATTCTGAGTTCTAAATACAATTTGCTTCCTCCTATATATATGTCATGCATAAGTGATAAGATTATTTTATTTTCTTTTTTTTTCTTTTTTTTTTTTTTTTGGAGATGGAGTTTCGCTCTTGTTGCCCAGGCTGGAGTGCAATGGCGCGATCTCGGCTCACCGCAACCTCCGCCTCCTGGGCTCAGGCAATTCTCCTGCCTCAGCCTCCTGAGTAGCTGGGATTACAGGCACGAGCCACCATGCCCAGCTAATTTTTTGTATTTTTAGTAGAGATGGGGTTTCACCGTGTTGACCGGGATGGTCTCGATCTCTGGACCTCGTGATCCACCCACCTCGGCCTCCCAAAGTGCTGGGATGACAGGCTTGAGCCACCGCGCCCGGCTATTTTATTTTCTAATCAATCCAGTCATAGATATTTGACTGTAATTCCTATATAAATATATTTTTTTCTGAGAAATATGTGCCTGGGCATGATTTCATTTTTTAAATGTTCTCAGAGAACTATGTCTTGGGTGTTATGGGGTAATCCTCATGCCTATAATACCAGAAATTTTGTCCAACCTGCCTAATTTTGTTGTTGTGTGGTTCTGTTTTGTTTTGTTTTAGGCTTTTTGCAGTCTGAAGCCATGGTTTTTAGTTTCTGTCTCTAGTGATAAGTGGAAAAGAGAGATGAGAAAGGGGCTTTACTGGCGCAATCAGAAACAGAAACTGAAAACAAATGACTGTATTCTCTCTCTCGGACACCCCTGCAGCATCTGTCCTTTCCACCGCTTTCCTGGTATCACTAGCAGAGCCAGCCAGTTACACAGTGGGAGAAGCAATCCCTTGCAGAGAGACAGCATCACAGAGGCACAGATTAGGGTGTCGTTAAGTCCAGGATTCAAATCTAAGACTCTGAATCCAGACCCTGTGTTCTTAACTCCTATGATATATACCCTCTCTGAATGCCGTGGTGTTTGACAGAGACGTCTTTGCCCTCAGGTTTGTTTTCACCAAAAGTAATGAGGTGACTGTTAGGTAGATTCTTCCCCCTTATTAATTCTTACAGAATTGTCTTCCTTCTAAAACTCTCCATCCATCCACCCATTCATCCGTCCTTCCACACTAACTCATCCATACGTACTTTCAACTTATCCACCCGCCCAGCCAGCCAGCCATCCCTCCACTATCCAATCATCCATCCATCCATCATCCCTCTACTCATCCATAATCCGTCACCCCTTCACTCATCAATTCACCCATTAATCTTTCCCTCCATCTATCACTCCACTTATCCAAACATCCTTTCATCTATCCATCCATCTCTCTGCATATCCATCCATCTACTCATCCATTCATCCATAATCCCTCTATTCATTCATCAATCCATTATCTTGCACTCATCCACTCATTAATCCATCTATCCATCCATTCACCCATCCATCCATCCACTCATCTATCTACTCTTCCATATACTTACTTACTTCCTGATTACCACCACCATCACCAAAAATGTAGCAATTCCTTTTAGTAACAGCTGCTTCTATATAATCATGAGCCTCATCAAGGTGACTAATTTCAGAGGAAGTTTTGAGAATCAGAAACTTAAAGATTGGCATTGGGTGTCACTGGGAAAACAGCAGACAGATGTTAACAGGAGCTCTGTGGTTCTGAGTGGTAATTTCCTGGAAGTCTGTCAAGGAGTTTTCCAACTAAAATTAACTTTTTGGCATCTGAGCCAGAAACACAAGCTGTGCTTCATTCCCAGCCTGCATTCATGTGCCTGTGTGCATGTGTGTGTGTGCCTCTGTGTGCCAGTGCCCATGTGCACATGCTTCTGTGTACCTACATGCTTCCATGTGTATATTTGTATTCATGCACATGTGTATGTGTATGGGTGCATGTGTCTGTGTGTTAGGGATGAGATCAGGTGTAGTAAATATTTTGGGGACTAGTAAGAAAAGGCAGCATTGTACTAATTGGCGCATCTCTCATAAGAATTTAAATACCATGTAGCTCACTTTACAGAACTCAGACATGCTTTCTGAATCGCATTGTTGCATTAAATTGAAGGCAGGAGCACAACTTTGCCAGGACTACTCCAGGGAATTGAGTCATTCAGTCACCAGCAAAGGTGGAGTGAATTCTTTATAACGTGCCTGTCTTTAGTTGTCCATGTGACAATAATAAATGACAGAAGAAATGGCAACCAGAAGGCCTATTTCTGAGGTCGATTCCACAGGCTATATTTTGAAGCTTCTACCTTTCTAGAAATCTTCTCCAGTGGCCCCATTCTTTGAACTCCATTAATGGGCTTTCTTGCCTTTTGGATTTCACTTCCATTTGGTCAGTGGTGGTGGTGATGGGAATAGCCATCGGGGGATGGGGACACAAGCAGCAGGCTAGGGGTCTAGGGGAAAGTTAGGCTGGATATGTACTCCCCTGGGTTCTCCATAAGGGTTGCTTTAGGCTGGTTGCGCCCCTTGACTGAAATACACACTCCTATGACAGCCCCTTGGGTATCTGCTACCTCATCTTTTCCCATCAGGCCTAGAATGGAAACAGGAACTGATTTTAACAGCTCTAGCCTCTTGCACGATCTCCGGTGATTTTCCTACCCTTTGTTCATGACTTTGTAATAATTCCATTTATTAGCCTTAACTTGTCCCAATTTTATGCCAAGGTCTCACTGATACACAGACCAACTGAAGTAATGGGACCCTAAAGCAAGTCTAAACCCATTTGTGTGTGGTTTTTCTCCACTGAAAGTTGTGTAACACCAGACTTCTTGCTCACAGGAAAGTTGTCAAGGCACAACGAGAAAGAAGGAGAGGCTCTGGAAGGGTTAAAATAAAAAGGCAATTCCATAGCAAGATGCTAATGCACCTTACACAATATCATCTCTGTATCTTTTCAGCTAGAATAACAGGCAAGAGTGAACTGCTTAGTCACTCACGATCCCAGGAAAGTGTATGCTGTGCTTTCTGGGGTGTTCATCAGGCAGCATCCTGCTTTCTACCAATAATTCAGCAGAGCATGAAAAATTGCACAAATTCCAAACTTCATCAAAACATCCCCACACCTGGCTGGGTGCCCTCGATTGTGTGGACACAGATGTCCGGTTGCTGGGACAAATGAGTCACACTGGAAATCGGTGAGTGCAATAAAACCGCACTTGACTTCCAGAGTGCAGAATCCATAGTTTTTGACTAAACTCAAAGAAGGACTTTACCAGGCATTCCAGGACATAGCCTCTTCTGGCTTAACAGTAAAACAGTCCTGGAGATGGCTCAGCACCCAGTATTCACAACACTCTAGCGTACACATTCCCATTGGGGCATCTCTTCATATCCTTTGCCCTGGCCATGGGCTTGCCCAGTGAGGCATTTTTAGGGGCATCCAAAGTCCTGGGTGAGCAAACATGAGCACAAGGGTTAAACTGTCATACCCTGGTTTCTCAGGAGATTGTTCCATACGCAGATTATTCAGTATTGTGTGTGGCTTGCCACACACCCCAGGTCTCAGTTCATCCATTTAATGAGATGTGCCTCACTGGCTACAGACACTCACAGGTTTGAGGTGAGCAGGAAGAAAATGGATAAGGTGTAGCAAGTAGGTACCTTCTTGCCTGATGCATTCCACTCCTTTGATAAACAGAGACAAAAAACAAAACAAAATTGAAGGCTGGGATTAGGGCTGGAGAGCAAAGAGGAAGATAGGATTTTCTTGGACTTTTTGCTATGGAGTAGAAAGTAGAGCGGTAGAGAGCAGGAGCATAGAAACGTGGCACAAAGGAGGCTTTGACTTGCTAGGCACATTCTACAGTGTTTGGGGCTCTCTCTCTGCAAGGGTTCCAAGCCCAGGCAGCATGCTCTACAACTCAAGGTCTCCCTGGTCTTATGTCCTTCAGACTAGACTCGGATGTCTGATTGCTTCAGCAATGCCTCATGGCAATGTCTTACCACCCCATTTTACACCTAGTTTCTGGAATAGTCTCCTCAGTTCACCCATCTTTCCTCTTCTCCTTCACCATAGCAATAGGGACCTGAGTAGGGAGGATGCTCTGTGTCCCTGGTTCCCTCGATCTTCTTGGGAGAGTCTGGTCCCTCTCCTGACAGAGTTTCAGGTTGGCTTCATGGTATAGATGAAGGAAAGTGTGGTGGCCCTTCACCAAATGATCTGCCAGTGTGCCTAGAAATAGAGTCTCTGTCAGGGCTGTTTGCCTCGTATCACACGCCAACTGGCAAGCAGGTGGATTCTCTCACTTGGCAGCTGGCTTCCATCTGCCCCCTGTCAGTCTGCAAATATGACCCGAGTTAAACTCTAACTTCTAGCAGTGATGTGCACAGCCACAAAAACCATATGGATTCAAAAATACACTTTTGAAAATGACACCTGAATCAGTCATTTACATTTATTATCTCAAAGATCAGTTTCATTAAGACTCCCACTTGTGCTAAACAGAAATCACGCTGGTGTCAGGCAGTTACCTCAGTTCTCAGAAGCTGAGCAGGTCCAAGCCATCCTGTTCAACACACAGTTCCTTCAGTTTCCCTTACAAGACCTCAATCAAATGTCCAGGAAGTGATTCAGGATATATACTCTCCTCTGAAACCGGTCACTCAAGTTCTTGGTGGCTTAATACAAATACAGCAAACAAGGGACTTCACAGGGGAGTCATCAGTTGAAGCCAGCAAGGGTGACCTGGTCACCTTCAGTGTCACAAAGCTAGACTTTGATACAAGGAGTTCTTACAAAACAGAGAGCACATGGATTAAAAGCCACAGATACATCCTGAAGACACTTGCTTTATGTATATATATTTTTATCTTTCATTTTAGGCTTGGGGGTACATGCAAAGGTTTATTACATAGGTAAACATGTGTCATGGGGTGGTTGTCACACAGATGATATCGTCACCCAGGTATTAAGCCCAGTACCCAATAGTTATCTTTTCTGCTCCTCTCCTTCCTCCCACATGCCCCCTACTTTCTTTATTTTAAGAAAACAAGGCAGGTGATGTCCCCACAGCTCTTCGTAAAGGCAGATGAATGAACTAGAGGGTTCTATGAAAGTCCCTCTGGGTCCAGAACTGTGTGTGTCAGCTCTAGTTTACTAATCCCTTACCGAACACATTTGACAGGATCTTTGCTGTTAAGAGGGGACAGAGCAAGAACATGTGACATGTGACTTAAGCTGTAAAATAGCACAGCAGTGCCCATCCTCTGCTCCTCAGAGAGCTCTTGTTGGTCTACAGGGGCAAGGGTGTAGGGTCCTTTTCCCCTGTGTCTCCCTGAATGACTCTTATTGGGTCATAATTTGCAACAAGAAGGTATACGTGGTCAAGGAGGGAACGTATCTTTGCCTCTGTCTACCCTGACACTGGCCATGTGGACTAGACAGTCTTTGAGAAACTTGTGAGATTCTAAAATTGTGTGATTTCCTTCCATGCACCTGTGGAAGGAGCCTAGAATCGGAGCCTAGACAGTGACCATCAGAGGCCAGGGAGAGTCTAGAGGACATGTCATGGCTGTCACTTGTGTCTCTATTTTTGCTAGATTCCTGATACCATTTATGGTCACAGTTCATTTTGCTGTAGAGTAGGAACCTGGGATCAAATTCCGTGACTTCAGAGAAGAGTCATGTGTACAAAACTTTGGGAAAGGATCACCACAGAGAGGGCTTGGAGACAAGACCCTGTTTGATCTTTTCCTTGTCCTTCTTAAAAGTGATAATATGAGCATAAAACTATTTACAGCTTTAAATAAGCCTGTGGTTTGGTACTGAATCATGTATAACACATTCCTCTCAACTGAACAATACGTAAGCAGGCATTCTGGAGAGATTGTATTGCACCAGATTGGTATGATTATAATGAAGAAGATTGGCCTAGTTAGCTCCCTGGAAAAAGGCTTGACCCAGGTTAAGACTTTAACATGAATACTTTTTCTCTAATTAAAAAAAAAAAAAGATTTCTTAATGCATTTTCTTAGCTTACACTCGACTGGGTCTTACTGTATCCAACCCTTCATCTTTGTGTTTATTCACATGTGTATATTCAATCACATACATCAAGTATGAAAATTATCTCCTTCCCTTCCTGCCCTCATGTTGCCATGATTTGCAGAGCATCACCGTGCAGCTGTGGATGAATGGCCTGCTGTGGCTGTTTTCAACTCTGTTTTTTTTTTTTTTTTTTTTTTTTTTAAGTGTTGGGATTTTTGTGGTTTAGAACTTTAAGATTTCACGTTAGTTTTTGTATGGACTCCTATGTTTGGGATATGCATTTTATTTGAAGAACAACATATGACCCTCAGGAACCAAATTTAGGCTCTGGGCGTCAGGGATTAAGCTTCCTGAAAAGCACTACTTCATGGGCTGACAGTTACATGCCTTTCATGTGAAAATTCCCTCTGCAGCCAAAAGAAAATGCATATTTACTAGAGGAAATGTCACTTGACATGATGCACAGGTGATATGAGAAAAAATGTGCATTTGTGTAAAGAAACAAACATTCGCAAATATGCCTGCCTCATTTGTGCTTCCTTAAGGGCAAAACGCCCTTTTGGGAAACAGACCTTTCCTAGTAGCATTTTCAGTGATTCTCAGTCCTCCTCACATTTGGCTTTGACTAAATTCAGAGTATTCTTGTCAATTAAAAATGATATATTTAGCTTCTCACAGGCAGACAAATGATCAGCCTGTGTCAACCATATGATGACCTAAGATTTCAGCTGCACTGGAATCATCCTGAAAATTTAATCTGGTATACCCTGTGAAATGACCATCATCGTGGGAAAGTCTGGGAGGTCGCATGCAGTATGCAAGTATTTCGAGGAGCCATTAGCTTTCAGAATGTCACAGCAACATTTCTCTGGTTTTTCCTTCCTTCCTTGCTCTTCGTGAGAATGACCAACTACATTCACCTCTGTCTACCCTCTGTCCAGGAACATCCAAGACCAAGCTCAAGACAGATGTTTGTCCTTTTAGCTTTTATTTTTAGAGGCACCCTGTCTGGGAGTGACATCCATTTACTGGTTATTCATTTTGCTTTCTGCTTCAGGGATGTTGATAAAGAGTGTAGATCTAAATAATTGCTTCCCCTCAGCCATCTCACAGAAGGTGTCCTGGTGCATTTTATATCCTGAGGGCAAATGAAAGCTATGTGTTCTGCTTGGCAATTATTTTCTATGTCAATGCTCCTTTTTCAGCATATGAATGTGTCGAGAGGCTGACTGTTTATTATCTAGAGGTAGTGGTGGGGCAGATATCAGGGTAGATGTGGAGGGAGGTGAGAGATTCCTACCTCTCCACTTTCAGCTGTAATTTCTTTTAAACAGATACTCTGATTTTACATATAAAAAACAAGAGAAGCTCTTTACATAACCAGATTGACTCCCTTTCTCAGGTATTTTCCCGAATAGAATTTTTACTAAGATGGGCTTAACTAATGATGGAAAGAATGTAATCCGTTTGTGAAAAACTCTTAATCTTCATGGAAAATATCAGATGCATAAGGGCTTTGTAAATTTCATTTACTTCTGCTTCACTTCCTTTCCATTCAAAAAATAATTGATTGCATGTGCATGAGAGAGAACCCAACCAGACATTTTGTTTTTCCACCAAATGTATCATACACTGTCAGTGCCCACAAGTGATGGGATAGGTAGGTCATGGAAAAAAAATGAGGCTGTCCCTTTTGGTAACTTTTGTGTTGATGAAGAGAGTCTAGTGAATAACAATGTTGATAAGGAAAGTAACAATCAATATTTTTGAGTCCTTACTATGCGCAAGGTTGTTGAGGGAAGCTCTTTCTTTGCATTTGGTCATTTAGTTGACCCAACAATCATACAAAGGGGCTACTATTATTATCTTATGCCTACAACAAAATTCCAAATTTCACCTCTCAACAACGATTCTTCCTTACGAGTTCCCCATCTCAGTAGACGGTAATGCCAGTTACTAATTTGCTCTGATCTCAAACTTGAAAATGAGTCATCTTTGATTTATCTCTTTCCCATTGCCCCTTTCCCCTGCCCCGGATTTGACAACAAATAATCTCTGGCTTCTTTGATGTGATTCTGGCTTATCTCTCAGATCTCACCTTCCCATCGCTCTTTTCACTTCCCCAGCTACACTGGCTATTCTGTTCCTTAAATCAGTCCTGCTTGTTAGAAATCCATATTTAATGTATCTCATTAAGCTCTTCCTTTTTTGTTCAAATAACCTTAGCTTAAGCGCTATCATCTCCAGCTTGGAATATGGAAAATCTCCTGATTTGTCTGCATGATTTCTTTCTGATTCCTTTATAAAGATCCAGCAGAAGAATGTGCCTTGAATCATGAATCCAGTCACATCACCCCACTGCCTTAAGCCTACAATGACTTTACATTGCTCTTGGAAGAGACACATACCTCCTAACTTAGCCTTTGTGATCTGATGGCTTCCTGCCTATCAGATCTCTCCCCATTACTGTCCCCCCTTCCTCACTATGTCCCAGCTTTGCCAGCCCTTCGTCCCTCTATCTGGAACACATCCCTGTTGTTTCTACCTCAGAGCTTTGTACTCTCGTTTCTTTTCCTGGGGAAAAAACGTCCCCCATCTTCGCACGATTGGCTATGCATCACAGTCATAATTTTACACTTTAAGTGAAAAATAAAAAGTAATCAACAAGGAATAACATGCTATCACATTCACCCCACCACTATTAAGGAACACTGGGACTTGGGTTTGGGAGGAGTTTGAATGACAGATGAAATAGCAGATTTGGAAGCCAGTGACTATAGATTTTGTATATTGGAGTTAATCTGAGACCAAGTGTGCAAGAACCTCTTTCGGATACCGAATGTGCATCTTTCTCTGATTTCACCATAAGCATTGTAAACAAATTAAATATTTCTGTATTCATATTGCCTCAACTAATTTGTCTGATGCCAACACTGCATGGAAGAAAATTCTGGAGGGTGCAAATTGGCAAGTCAATGAAATAGATGAATCATCTCTACTGATAAGGAAGCTGGGGCATAGAGAGGTCTTTTCAGGACTACTTCCTGTGAAAGGTAAGGCGCAGAGGCAGAACTTAAACCTATTATTGGCTTCAAAGGACCCGCTGCTCATCTAATGATGTGCTGGCAGTGTCATTCTCACACCATCTCTATTTTATAGCATTTGACTGGAATCATCATTTAGCACATGATTCAATATACTCTTTCCTAATGTTTCATTTGTGTTTTATGATATTTCATGTATGTTGTCATGATATTTTACCTCATCAATACATTTATATGCTTCTGAGTCCAAAGAACAGTCTTTTGTAGTTTTTGGCACACAGAAAGCCTTCTATAAATCTTTGCTACTTAGGGAATTATATTTCTCTTATATATTTAGAGACAATCAGCCAAATTGTTATTAAATCCTCACTATATACGCTGCTATTTCATATGTAAAGGATACTGTTGAAAATAGAGTTCTTAGAACACAAAGTTCGATTGAAACAGAATGAATATTGAATTTCTCGGAATGAACATTTATACTGTGATGGTATGTTGAGCGTCAACCTGATTGGATTA